AAAACTGTTGCAGCTACTACTACTATTACTATTAAACTACGGCTGTATTTGTTATGATGATGATGATGATGCATTTTTAACAGTCATTGCCAGTTACTCATCCGTCAGCAGGTTATTTTCAAGAACGTCGCTCTGGTCACGTGGCGCCTGAAAGTCTAGCCACTTCTACAGTCCTAGGTGCTTTCATAGACACTTCTACAGTCCTAGGTGCTTTCATAGCCACTTCTACAGTCCTAGGAGCTTTCATAGCCACTTCTACAGTCCTAGGTGCTTTCATAGCCACTTCTACAGTCCTAGGTGCTTTCATAGCCACTTATACAGTCCTAGGAGCTTTTATAGCCACTTCTACAGTCCTAGGTGCTTTCATAGCCACTTCTACAGTCCTAGGTGCTTTCATAGCCACTGCTACAGTCCTAGGAGCTTTCATAGCCACTTCTACAGTCCTAGGTGCTTTCATAGCCACTTCTACAGTCCTAGGTGCTTTCATAGCCACTTCTACAGTCCTAGGAGCTTTCATAGCCACTTCTACAGTCCTAGGTGCTTTCATAGCCACTTCTACAGTCCTGGGAGCTTTCATAGCCACTGCATCTACATTGTCTTGTTTACACAATCGCCGAGTTCTGCCCCTGCCTGGTTTTCCAAAAACTGTACAGCCGCTATGAAGTTAAAAGTAATTCACGACAATTCACGCCTAGGTGATCTGATTATCTGTGCAGATGGTTCGGTGTTTAGATGAAAGAGAAGTGCCTGGGGGTTTGTAGAGAATGCCAATGGAAATTTTTTAGTGCAAGACAGCCTAACATTCGACATCACAACATCTAGCATGTGAATGGAGGTGGAGGAGGTAACTACAGCTCTCCGGTGGTTAGAGAACAAAATGCACACACATGTAATTGTAACAAACTGAAAGCATGCTGAGAAAGGTAAAGACAAGGATGCTTCGAACAGAGTGGCAAGCTTCACTGGGAAGGTCACGGGTCGTGAGCTTACTTTGGATATTTTCTCCAGGCGATGCCGTCGTAGTCGGTAATGAATAGGCAGACAGACTGACTGAATCGACACCACTGGGTGGTAAATTGATACATGACAAGGCAGATGTGGTCAAGGCCCTTTGAGAACAAGCAACGGAATCAGTAGAGAAACAAGATTATTATGGCTTGGAGAGAATGAGGCATCTGGGTGTAACCAGAGGGTCTGGCCAGCTCACTACACTCAGAGGAAAAGCAAGACGGATATATCACCAGATTGTGACCGGTACCATCAGTACTGGAACTCTGTGCTGGCTGCTGAAGATGAGGACGGAGCACGCATGGGAAAAGTCGAGGGCAAGAAAGCAAGTGATAGACAACAATGCAAGTGAGATGACAATATCAAGAGGTAGACGGCCAGCAGTTTGAGAGTGCATGACATGGACAGAGACAAAGCTTTCTGAAGATCCACTGTAGCAAACCTTTATTGTGGAGACGGCACCTGATTGACTGATACTCAATTGCTGATGGATAGAAGATTCGTTATGTTTAATTGTTCACTCATCAGTGCTGATGTTTTTAAAGGCAGAGGAATCAGCCCCAAGTACTGAAATAATCCTTTACTTACTTTATGCTTTCTCTTCCAAGTAGAATTCCTTTGCCAGACACGCACACACACAGACACACACACACACACACACACACATACACAAGCCACACAAGAAGATGTTTTGAAAGAACCGACAAGGGCTGGAATACAACTTATCACAAACATCAGGAAGAGATAGATGTCAATTTTTTTTTTTTTTTTAATGAGAAGAATGAAATTTGGACATGCTGTGACCACTTGAAAAAAATGTGGGGGAAAAAAGAGCCAGAGGAAGACAAAGCAAGAAGACTCTTGACAGCATTCTGTCATCCCATGGAGGATGCAGGTTGTCGAAGATCGCAGACTGTGGAGAAGCCTGATCCCCCACGCCTGTCGACAAGTCACTTGATGCTGATAGTGATGAGGATAAAAAATAATAATGATGGTGACGACGACGATGACGATTCTGGTGGTGGCGATGATGATGATGATGATGATGATGAAGATGATGATGATAATTATGATGATGATGATGATGATGATGAAAATGGTGATAAAGGTGATGATAAAGATGATGATGTTTCCTTACCTTTAGGTACATGAAATGGTATCCTCGGGGCACTCTCATTAGCCAGCGCTCCATACTCTGTCAACGTGGAACAATCAACTATGAGTCAAACTAGCTGCCTTTTTTTTCGTCTTCGCGTACTCCGGCTGGAAACTCCGGCGAAAAGTTCTGGTTGTTCATCCACTTCTGGATTTGAGTCTTATTCCAGAACCTGAATTTTGCGTGCACATCCGTTTTACGAATCTGGCTTATCTGTATGCTGACTGCTGGCTCTTCGCCTCTCCGGCAGATGCACACCGACTTCGAAGAAAACATCCCTAAATAGTCAACTCTTACGACATGCTTGAAAGCGAGCACTGTATCTATTCCACACACCCCCCCCCCCCACGCCCCACAATGGGACTCATATCCAGTTATAGACAAATCGGCACTAGGTGGGTGATTTGGTAAACATCACGCCTTTACTTCCTCAAACATGACCTACTACGCATTTAGACTGGTTCTACCTCGAAGTTAAGGTCAATTTTTGCAGAAAAAAATTCCAACACTCTGCAGATAATCAACTGTAAGTTAATTTTTGAAAAAATATCTTTGGAAATATATACGATTCAAAATAATAAAGAATCTGTTTGTATCTCAGAATTAAATACATAAGAGGCGTGGAAGTTGTCTGTGTGTGTGTGTGTGTGTTGTATATGTGTGTACGCGTTATGAATGTTTGTGTTTTTTGTCTGTGTACATGTGTTGTGTCTGTGTATATGTTTTGTGTCTGTGTATATGTGTTGTGTCTGTGTATATGTGTTGTGTCTGTGTATATGTGTTGTGTCTGTGTATATGTGTTGTGTCTGTGTATATGTGTTGTTTATCTGTATAGGTGTGGTGTCTGTGTACATGTGTTGTGTCTGTGTATATGTGTTATGTCTGTGTATATGTGTTGTGTCTGTGTATATGTGTTATGTCTGTGTATATATGTTGTGTCTGTGTATATGTGTTATGTCTCTGTATATACGTTGTGTCTGTGTATATGTGTTGTGTCTGTGTATATACGTTGTGTCTGTGTATATACGTTGTGTCTGTGTATATGTGTTGTTTATCTGTATAAGTGTGGTGTCTGTGTACATGTGTTGTGTCTGTGTATATGTGTTATGTCTGTGTATAGGTGTTATATCTTTGTGTATTTATTATGTATGTGATTGTTGGTATGCCTATTTATGATGAGTGTCATCAGTGTGTTCGCCACTGTGTGTATGTGTGTTGTGTGTGTACTTGTGTGTGTCTGCGATTTATGAGTATTTTTGCATGTATATTTGAAGGTAGGCATTTCTCGTCAATGCTTTTGTATTATTTTACATTGATATTATGAATGTTGACAAATGAGCATAATATGCTGGATACAAAAAATACGTCTGTCGTATGGAAGACGAAAGCTTGAAAGGACAGAATGTTAGACGGGTTTGCTTGCCCAATTTGTAAATAAAGTTCGTTGGTGATTCGTTCGTTCTCCTTAGGATTTTTACCTCTGGCCAAGAAAAGGCCAAATAACCTTACTGAGGATTGGGACCTGGTTCTTCCTTATGACAGCCAAGCGTTTTAATATCCATTATACTAGCTGTGTAATATTGTTATTTCTTGGATTTGTACCTTGGGGATTCTCATCCGAATAGTGGCTCTTTGAATCATCGATCGACTAACTGGGGACCTCCTTCGAAGTCGGAGTGCATCTGCCCGAGCGGCAAGGAATAACTAACTACACACAAAGAAGCCAGATAAACAGATGTAAACGCAAAACTCAGGTCCTGGCACAAAGCCAAAGTCAACATTGATGAGCAACCAGGACTTTCCACCAGATTTTACAACCGGTGAGCAAAGAAGAAGAAAAGTGATTAGATGTTCATAGCTTAGTATGCGGTCCTAGTGGGGTTCAATTTCTATCACAGCAATCCTGCCCGGCTGGCTAGCGTAATTGGTTAGAACCCTCTGCGCGGCGACCGGGTGACAAACTCCTTGTGGTCCGGGTTCACGCCCAGAGGTAGACAGAAAAGCCCCACTTCTCCCAGATGTACGGTATCTATCATGGAATCAAGGCGGAAGGGTTGCGATATCTATAGTTCCTAGCCAAAGGTTAACAACTTATGGTTTCTTGATACTTAAAACAAAAAAAAATATCAATATTGGAGGCGAAGAATAAATCTCAGCCTCAAACTTCGCGCTAACAACTGATCGTATGATGCAGGAACGAGTTACCTACGACTTGACGGTGAAGCAGGAGGAGTAGTTAAGCAGCTGACAATGGCTACTCATCATCAGTTCTCGTTATGCCTAGTGGCACACGAGGCTTCAGAGAGGACTTTCCATGCTTTCCTGTCCTGTGCAATCTTCAGTGCAGTTTTCCATGTCAAAGATGCCGCACTCAGGTCACTTTCCATTGTTCGTCTCCATGTTGTTTTTGGGCGCCCCTGTTTTCTCTTTCCCTCTGGTGTCCATGTGAGAGCTGTTTTGGCAGGTATATCAGAAGTCATTCTCATAACGTGGCCATTTCCATCTTCTCTTGGTAATCATACTGTCTAAAGTTTCTTGGTTTGTGGTTTGAAGTAGTTTAGTGTTTGAGATTGTATCTAGCCAGAAAATTTTGATAATTCTACGTAGACATGTGTGGTGGAAGGTGGACAGCTTGTGTGCATCCTTTTTGGTCATTCTCCAGCATTCCGCTCCATAGAGAAGAACTGGCAAAATGATGCTTTTGTAGAGTCGGAGTCGGACAATGGCTACTATCAGTGTGGAAACTTTTCGCTGGCTGTTGAGTAAGGGGTGGGGGGGGGGGGGTGGCGTAGTTAATATGGGGTTTGTCTTGAATGCAGTGATGTTCAATCTTTACCCAGATGAGCCCGGATGAAGCCAGATGTTCTCACCTTGCTGTGGCTCTCCTGTCAAACGCTTGCCGGTCAAATCGATGGCTGCTCCAGAAGGAACACCGTGTGGGGCCAGGTGAGCTGTGTCTTCAAACAGTTCGTGTGGCACGTGACTTCCGTGGGAAAATCTACCTTTTCTCTAAATATGAAAAAAAAACAATTTGAAATCAGCTGAAAGTTTTAAATTGAAAATTTTAATTATCAGTGTTTCAGATGATGATGATGATGATGATGATGATGATGATGATGATGATGACGGTGATGATGATGACGGTGATGATGGTGAGGCTATTCATAACGAAAATGATGATGATAGTGGTAGTGGTGGTGGCAGTGGTGGTGGTAGTCATGATGATATGCTTTTGTGTTCAACAGTAAGATCTTGATCTTAATTACGTTTCTGAATCTGATATATTCATGCTGATGTAACCGCTGTGTGTGTATGTCTTTGGGTGTGTGTTTGTGAATGTGTAACTGTGTGTGTACGTGTGTGGGTAAATATGTACGTATATATGTATGGATTATTGTTTGTTTGTATGTATATGTGTGTGTGTACATATATGTGTAAGTGAGTGAGTGGGTTTCGTGTGTATGTGGGCGTGTGTGTGCTCATACAATTTACCACCCGTGCTTTTGTATTTTTGCTTGATATTCAAAATATGTATATTATTATATGAACGTAACATGCTTTACTGGTAAAATACAACTTCTATGTGAAAGATAGGGTTTGGAAGGGCCGAATGTAAGACAGGCCTGTTTTCATTCATTCATTGGGAGATGACAGACAGGAATAAGGAAACAACAGTGTCCGACTTGGAAAACCAGTGTTACCTGAAGGAGAACGTTAACAGCCATATACGCAGCCAGCACGATGATGCAGAAGACTCCATAGATACGGAACGTGACCACACTCCCTGCAACAAACATCGATGAAAGTAATTAGGTAAAGTAAAAGTAAGTAAAGATCCCTTTTCACGCCTAAGGCATATCGGAAAAGCACCCATTTTTTTACAGACCAGTCGGCACTAGGTGTGTAATGTGATAGCAATACGCCGGCCGTCTTAACTTGTCTAGGAAATATATCATGGTACCCACTTAACGCTGGGTCGACCTGCGACGTCCCAAACCATGATAAAAATCCACGCAGCCAGCATTGGGTTTCGATCGCGGTACGTTGAAATTACGAAACGGACTCGCAACGCCTAAGCCACGGACGCCACAACATCAATGAAAACACTCACAAATATGTCAAAGTTTAAGATGAGTTAAGAATTAAGAATAGTTAACAACCGACATCGTAGCACTCGGGAAATTTCCGTTAGCGGCCAGTCTCCAGCAGGGAGCGAAGAGTTTCAATGCCGATGTTACCAATAACAGTCGCATTCTATGCCCGTTTCATGTTGAGCGTCAGCAAAAATCTGTGATCGCTCCTCGCTTCACAATTCTCTTCAGACCGCGTTGATCTGTATGGACCTGTGCACTGTTTACTCGTTTCGACAAGGTCCTAACAACATCTAGCTTGTCATGTGTAATTTACCACTAAGTGGTGCAGAACCAACCAGTAAGTCTGCTTGCTTGTTTCCCAACACACTTGTATTTGTCCTTGGGAAAAATTTTCAACTGACGCTTACTAAAAGGGATCTCTGAAGCGATGTTTATCACTCTTCAAGGAGCAGGCTTGTCTCCACTTTTCTCGACATGCTCTGTGAGTCAATCACAATCACAATATGTGTACGCAGCTGGTTCTCAGGCTAGCGAAAGGCGCCCATGACTGCCTCCACCTCCATTCTCGAACTAGATGCTGTGTATAACATGGCGGGCTTTGCTGCACTAAGCATTCAGGACAAGCCCAAATTAGCTCCGTCTCCCTCCTCAACAACCAGCGAAGAGTTTCCATACTGATTGTTCTCGTTGTCATCTGGTTCTACTTGTCTTGCATTACTTCTGAGTGCCCGGAATTCACAGTCACTTCTCGTTGTATCATTTCCTCTAGGTACGGATTTCAAGTATTTTCTATTTCACATGCTATCCTGACCCTAAGATTGAAGATCACCTTTGTCTGGTGCAGTTGCAGTACACTCTATCTGCCTGCTCATTCCCAAACACACCTGAGTAGTCCTTCATGTGACGCCCATCTCCTGCGACCTCTGGGTTGGAACAATCCATTCTATACAAAGCAAACCTGACTCCACCGTCCTAAACATGCTTTGAGAATCCAACTTCATGTGCGGCAGAGGTTTTGTCCACCAATCGGAACGCCGCAGTTACCATCTTAACCTCCGTTCTCATGCTGGACGTGGTGATGTCATATGCCACGCTCTCTTCAGTTATCCTGCTTCCCCATACTTTTGCGACGAAGCCCCATCCATTTTTCCTGCCCCTGGTAACTCACCCATCAGTGTATATAATCACATTTACTATTCAAGAGATGACCTCTATCAGCAGTTGAACCTCTGTATCTGCACATCCTGCAGCTCATAACTTGCACTCTCGTCACCAGGTGGTTACCACTTTGTGCAGCTCTTCTTTGCCCTCTGGTGCCTTTACGCTTTCTTCTCCTTTGCCAATTTCTTGAACGTTGCAGACTCTGTTGATTGTCTATTTAGCCTGGGTCATCCACGATCTGGCCCTCTTTAGACTGTCACCCTTCAAGGTGCCCAATTCCTAATGCAGGGTATGTTCCGTTAAACTATTACTACCATGACGAAACGAATTCAATAGTTTTATAGTAGTCATGAAAGGTAACAAAAATTTTTTTAGATAATATAAACAATGTATTATTTCACCTACCGTATTTATAGACCATCAGCCCACCAAACACAGCCCCACAGCCCCTGCCAAGCCCATGATGGAGCCCCTGTATAATACTTTGGGCAGATGATCGCAGCTCTACCGGGATGGCATGGGTGATGTAAGCGCAGCAGGCAGCCCACACGGCTGCATGGGTCAGCCCTGAAAGCAATCAAGTCCATATATTGATGGGTTAACATTTGATACAAGCCTTGCGATCAGACACAGAAACAACTAATAAAACTCGCAATTTGTGGAACCTTAAGATACGAGTGAACGTGAATACGAGGTTTTTCATGATGCTAGGTCCAGCTCCAAATTTGATATACCAAGAATACGAGTCAGAATCCACAACACAACCTTCAGAGACGAGAACTATCGTTTTCCGCTGCCAGGAAAACCCCAAACAAAATCAGTGCCACATATTTTACCCGTTAAGGAAACAATTTGAGGTTTGTACAACGGATCAACATCATGGCACACAGTTAGCAACCCATAAGTGCTCCGTACGTCTTCCATCTTAAGGAGTCCGAAGAAGCTCAGCACAGTGCACAGGCGCTGTAGCACCGGCGAGGATCCTGAAATACTTTGTTTAGATTTTTAACTCCAAATATTTGCCCGGGCAGCGCCGTTAGAGTACTGTTTTCGATTTCCAACTGCCAAGGGATTTTTTTACCGAGCGCCCGATCTCACTACCCAGAGACCAGGGGAAATTACTATAAGTCCAAGTCTACGTGAAAACGACGCAGCCCTTATCGGGGATTGAACCCGGAACCTTTAGTACTCAAGGCGGACACCATGTCTCGAGACCACGCAGCCACCCCCACCCATAGTTGGTGGTTGCATTTTCATCTGTATGTAGACTGAAATGAATAGTTCCGTCGCGCAGCTATGAGTTCACTGCATGGCGATGCGATGCTTTTCGTCTGTGTCCAACGTGGTTTGCATTGTAAACTGTCTATTCAGAATCATGAGAATAATTGAGTTTGCAGCTACTCATCTGGTTTAACTGCTACTTCCTTCTTCGATAAACTGTATTTCTAGTGTCGGAATGTTTGTGTTGGTATTTCTGATGGCTGCCACTTGCGTGTAATGCCTGTGTGTGTGAGTGTGTGTGCGTATGTGTGTCTATGTGTGTGGAATACTCTAACTACCCATAACTCACGCCCATATGTCAGAATTGGTGTAAAGGTGGATTCGAAGTCTTAAATGATCTCTAAATTTTCTCTTTACACCTGTATTATGTGATTGTCAAATTTTTCTTTTTACATTTATGGTATGAGATTACCTAACCTCCGTATGTATTTGGTTTACCTTAATCTAATGAAGTCAACCCGTTTGACTGTAAATGTGTAAAACCTGCTGTTATAACATGTTTCCGGGTTATTAAATTTTTTCTACAAGTCAGAGTGTATAGCCCATAACCAGTCTATCGTTATATGTGATAGCATGTCTGACAGTTCTCATTACAATTAACACCTAACTCTTACCTTGTACAAATTCAAAAGGCAGCACCCACCAAGGGTTCGTTAGTAGCGAGATGTACATAAACCTGGCCACATTTCCGGCCAGCCCAGCATACAGCACTTTGACATGCCCTGTGCAAATATTAACATAATCTTGGTTACAACAAAATTGTCAAAACTTTGGATTTATTATTCATAAACTTATTTCTCAACGTGAACAACTAGATTTACACAACTCTATGACACCTCTGGCACATAAATATCTCCACTGAGGGGGCGTGCATGCAACAAAATCAATTTCCCCATTTCAAAGAAAAGGCATTTTGTTTACTATTTATTAATAATGTTCATTATTTATTACAAATACATCACTTGGTTTACCTCTTGATCATAGCAAAAAGAACGCTCGCTCCATGTTCACGCTACTTATTCAGAAACTAAGTGTGAAAGCTACCAGTTACTAAAACTGTCTTTCGACGAAAGCTGCATATGTATACACTCAACAGGGAAGAGACAAGGAAATTATCACTTTATTGTATTCTTTACCTGCTAACGCTTACACAGCTCTTACTTGTGAGAATTGATCACGCCTCGCCACTATTTATCAAAGAGTATATTTCCCCTAGATATACCAGTAGGGGACACAGAGTCAGGGCCATATTTTTACATGGACGCGCTATTCAGTTGATCATCATATTTTGTTTATTTGTGTTGACGATTAGGTTCTGCTACTCTTGCGTAGTCTTCCATTGCTCTATACCCATGACATATCTTGATATAAACATAAGCACACATGAAAGAATGAATAGAGGTTACTTTCTGACTTCTGTTTCATCACTACAGAGTAAACAGAATCAGCATCTAGTAACATTTTGTGCAGTGAACTACTTACAGCTTGGGCAACTACTTGCAACATGTCCGGCAGGAATGTCACATGTGCTGTTTGTACGTCTTTCCCTGGTGCTGCTTATGGAATTGTCGGGTGTATATGGGATTTTTTTTTTTTTTTTGAGAATACAGTAACACTCATTGTACTGTAGTTTGACATTCTTCTTCTTCTTATAATTATTTTTTTTATTATTAGTATTATTGTTATTATTTTTATTATTTTACTGACACTGCTACTACTACTACTACTACTACTACTACTACTACTACTACTACTACTACTACTACTACTACTACTACTACTACTACTACTACTACTACTACTACTACTACTACTACTGCAGCTGCTGCTGCTGCTACTACTACTACTACTACTACTACTACTACTACTACTACTACTACTACTACTACTACTTCTTCTTCTTCTTCTTCCTCTTCCTCTATTTCTTTCACTTCCTAGCTGTCAACTAGAAAGTCTAGATTGCTCGTCCACTTCAGGACTGTGTATTTTTGTTTTCCTGTATCTCCCTTATCAGAGTGCAGACAGGTCATTTCCCGCCTCGCAGATGCACCTCGTCGTCAAAGGGAAACATGGACACTATCTACATTGTCCAGGACCCGGTTGGGTGCCTGTTTCCAGGATTACTTTGGTGAGGTGTAGATAGACCTTAACCAGTAAGAGCTCTGGTCCCGCTGCGCGATTAAGTGTAGTTCAGCACCTCTGCATCGTCTCCATGTGATGAATGTCTGACTACTGATACTAGTTACAACATTGTCATCAGTCAGCTAGTGCTTTACAGAAGGCACGCATGAAAGTCCCTCTTTCTCTAGACTTTATATCCAGCCCTATGTGCTTTCAGAATCCATCTTTAATATCATGTATCCATGTTCTTTAATGTCCTATATTCTGCCGTTTCTTCTTCTACTTCTACTTCTTTTTCTTCTTCTTCTTCTTTTTCTTCTTCTTCTTCTTCTTCTTCTTCTTCTTCTTCTTCTTCTTCTTCTTCTTCTTCTTCTTCTTCTTTTTCTTCTTCTTCTTCTTCTTTGGGGGCCGCACAGTCGATAGGAGACTCACTTTCAGATTCAGCTGCGACTCGATGCAGCCCACGGCCGGTGTTGGAAACCGGGCGGTTCCCGGGATTCCCCGAGCCTCTTGGCAATGGATACCAGAGTTAACACTCTGGTGTAAATGGAGGAACGTCGCTGTAGCTACGGAGTTGCGTGCGGACGGCGACACAGGCGGACTGTTTCTTATCAGCTGTCCGTACTGATGGCAGAGACCTTATGGTTTATAACCGTGTGCAATGACGCTAGTTCACATCTCCCAACATTTTTATCTTTTTCTTTTTATTCTTCCTTTTCTTCTTCTTCTTCTTTTTCTTCTTCTTCTTCTTAGTTTTCTTCTTCTTCTTCTTCTTTTTCTTCTTCTTCTTCTTCTTCTTCTTCTTCTTCTTCTTCTTCTTCTTCTTCTTCTTCTTCTTCTTCTTCTTCTTCTTCTTCTTCTTCTTCTTCTTCTTCTTCTTCTTCTTCTTCTTTTTCTTCTTCTTTTTCTTCCTCTTCTTCTTCTTTTTCTTTTTCTTATTTTTCTTCTTCTTCTTCTTCTTCTTCTTCTTCTTCTTCTTCTTCTTCTTCTTCTTCTTCTTCTTCTTCTTCTTCTTCTTCTTCTTCTTCTTCTTCTTCTTCTTCTTCTTCTTCTTCTTCTTCTTCTTCTTTTTCTTCTTCTTCTTCCTCTTCTTCTTCTTTTTCTTTTTCTTATTTTTCTTCTTCTTCTTCTTCTTCTTTCTTCTTCTCTCTTCTTCTTCTTCTTCTTCTTCTTCTTCTTCTTCTTCTTCTTCTTCTTCTTCTTCTTCTTCTTTTTATTCTTCTTCTTCTTCTTCTTCTTCTTTTTCTTCTTCTTCTTCTTCTTCTTCTTCTTCTTCTTCTTCTTCTTCTTCTTCTTCTTCTTCTTCTTCTTCTTTTTCTTCTTCTTCTCCTTCTTCTCCAGGCCTGTTCTGCCTTTTGGCGTCAGCTTTTGAAGAGGCATCTGGTTAGAGCCTTGGTATGTGCTGTGTAAGTGCTTGTATTTAAAGCCTTGTCTATTCCATCTATCTATTGCTTGTGTGGTTGACCTTTGACTCTGCTTCCATTATGTCTGAGTGACAGGGCTTTCTGTGGAGCACTGTCTGGTGGACACTGTACCCTCCATAACCGTTCCCTTCAGGGACTCATGACTCTTAACATGGCCCAAACGGCACAGCTTTCGGGACACAATAGCTTACCATACTTGCTGATGAACGACCCAGTCAGGAAATATGCAAACAGCTCGGAGATGTGGTTGATCACTGAGGCTACACCAAACAGGGTGGGAGAGCCGTTCAAGTCTTGAAGATGCCAGAAGAGGAACGTGAAGATAATTCCAATGCCGAAACCCATGAACCAGGCAATGATGAGCACTGATATATACTAGGGGAAAGAGTTATAGTTTCGGTCACTATATGCTTTAATTACTAAAAAATGTAAATGAAAATGCACGTACATCTTAGGACGACTGCTGAGTAAACTGATATTAATTAAAGGACTGATCGACTGATTTCTATTTCGATTGTTTGGTTGACTGATTGACAGACAAATGAAGGATGGATGGTTGGATGGATGTGTGGATGGGTGGATGTATGGATGGACGGGATAAATGGGTCAACGAACAGGCAAGCAGAGAGACACTTATTTATGAATCTCCTAATGGATGAGGAGATAAACTGACTCCTTGGTCAACACGTTTTTTTTTTATTACTATTATTATTATTTGTTGATGGATTATCTGATTCATTTCAATAGACGTACCACGCGTTGTTGTCCTGTCGCAGAAATTGAATAATGGATCTGGCCCTCTTTAGACTGTCACCCTTCAAGGTGCCCAATTCCTAATGCATGTTATGTTCCGTTAAACTATTACTACCATGCTTTATTATTATCCTACCCCAGATGACGTCACAGGACTGTCCAACATTTTAGAGTATGGTAAGACTGGGTTTCCCGGCTTTCTGGTGCTTTTAACGACCTCAAAACATCTACAACTGGCCCTAACCCCAACCCACCTACATCCTATGAGAGAGTACAGCCTAGGTCCCACGACTGCATGCAGCTTAGGTCCCACGACTCCATGCAGCTTAGGTCCCACGACTGCATGCAGCCTATCTACCATCCCCTGAAATATTTGTCCAGTGACCTGTGGATTTCCCCTGTTTGGAGTAGGATATTAATAAAGCACCTAATTATGAAGACCCCTGCCCCTCTGACATGGAGCAGCCATGGAAACAAACAAAGTACAAGACTCAAAAAGCAGGATGGGGATATAGGTATGAACACTGGGATGTATTGTCCAGGTTGAACAAGAACCATGAACAGTCCACATCTTGGGGTAGTGTGATATGGCGAGTCGTGGTCGCCAGCGTTTACTGAAGTGGTACAAAGTGATTATGATAATGAGTACAAGCTATGGGGGATCACTAGTGTCAGTTTCACGCTCTACATGCAGTATGAACTTTTAGTACTATGGTTGCTTCTGTCCAAACAGATTTATTTTGCTTGTGGTGTTAAAAACATATGTCTGTACATTGTTTGTGTTGTTATAAACATATGTCTGTACATTGTTTGTGTTGTTATAAACATATGTCTGTACATTGTTTGTGTTGTTATAAACATATGTCTGTACATTGTTTGTGTTGTTATAAACATATGTCTGGACATTGTTTGTGTTGTTATAAACATATGTCTGTACATTGTTTGTGTTGTTATAAACAAATGTCTGTACATTGTTTGTGATGTTATAAACATGTGTCTGTACATTGTTTGTGTTGTTATAAACATATGTCTGCACATTGTTTGTGGTGTTATAAACATGTGTCTGTACATTGTTTGTGTTGTTTTAAACATATGTCTGGACATTGTTTGTGTTGTTATAAACATATGTCTGTACATTGTTTGTGTTGTTATAAACATATGTCTGTACATTGTTTGTGTTGTTATAAATTTATGTCTGTACATTGTTTGTGTTGTTACAAACATACGTCTAAACATTGTTTGTGTTGTTATAAACATATGTCTGGACATTGTTTGTGTTGTTATAAACATATGTCTGTACATTGTTTGTGATGTTATAAACATATGTCTGTACATTGTTTGTGTTGTTATAAATTTATGTCTGTACATTGTTTGTGTTGTTACAAACATACGTCTGGACATTGTTTGTGTTGTTACAAACATACGTCTGGACATTGTTTGTGTTGTTATAAACATATGTCTGGACATTGTTTGTGTTGTTATAAACATATGTCTGTACATTGTTTGTGATGTTATAAACATATGTCTGTACATTGTTTGTGTTGTTATAAACATATGTCTGTACATTGCTTGTGTTGTTATAAACATATGTCTGTACATTGTTTGTGGTGTTATAAACATGTGTCTGTACATTGTTTGTGTTGTTATAAACATATGTCTGCACATTGTTTGTGGTGTTATAAACATGTGTCTGTACATTGTTTGTGTTGTTATAAACATATGTCTGGACATTGTTTGTGTTGTTATAAACAAATGTCTGTACATTGTTTGTGTTGTTATAAACATATGTCTGTACATTGTTTGTGTTGTTATAAATTTATGTCTGTACATTGTTTGTGTTGTTACAAACATACGTCTGGACATTGTTTGTGTTGTTATAAACATATGTCTGTACATTGTTTGTGTTGTTATAAACATATGTCTGGACATTGTTTGTGTTGTTATAAACAAATGTCTGTACATTGTTTGTGTTGTTATAAACATATGTCTGTACATTGTTTGTGTTGTTATAAATTTATGTCTGTACATTGTTTGTGTTGTTACAAACATACGTCTGGACATTGTTTGTGTTGTTATAAACATATGTCTGGACATTGTTTGTGTTGTTATAAACATATGTCTGTACATTGTTTGTGATGTTATAAACATATGTCTGTACATTGTTTGTGTTGTTATAAATTTATGTCTGTACATTGTTTGTGTTGTTACAAACATACGTCTGGACATTGTTTGTGTTGTTATAAACATACGTCTGGACATTGTTTGTGTTGTTATAAACATATGTCTGGACATTGTTTGTGTTGTTATAAACATATGTCTGTACATTGTTTGTGTTGTTATAAACATATGTCTGTACATTGCTTGTGTTGTTATAAACATATGTCTGTACATTGTTTGTGATGTTATAAACATATGTCTGTACATTGTTTGAGTTGTTATAAACATATGTCTGCACATTGTTTGTGATGTTATAAACATATGTCTGTACATTGTTTGAGTTGTTATAAACATATGTCTGCACATTGTTTGTGTTGTTATAAACATTCTTGTCTGTATTTTTTGTGATTTTATGATTTATATATATATATATATATATATTTCTGTGTGTGTGTCTATATCGTTGGGTGAATGGGTGTTGCACTTGCACATATATTGGAAGTCGCCGTGGCAGAGCGGCTAGACGCTCACCGCGGAACAGAAGGTCGTGGGTTCGCTCCCTGGTGAAGCCGGACATTTTTCAAAAATGACCTTGGCTCCAAGGTTGACCCAGCCTTGAGTGGGTACCGGGTGCAGTGCCGGGAAGTAAAGGTGGCCGGCGTGATGCTGACCACATCACCCATCTCGTGCTGATTGGTCTATAAAATATAGGTCTAGCCCTATATGCCCTTTACACCTAAAGGCGTGGAAAAGGGTCCTTTACTTTACTTTTTACATATATTGTTTTTACCGGTTACCTACTCTGAATTGTTTATAAAATGGTTGTTGTTGTTTTCGATTTTATATTATCTTGTCAGCCACGGTAGTGAAATGTCAAGACGTTTATGTACCAACCTAAGGGTCTTGGGTTCAAATCCACATCGGGTAGGTGTGTTTGCTTAACGAAACAACGGCCCTAACTAAATTTCCTTAAGCCTTTCTCTCCTTTGCGCTCACCGGCTGTAAGCTCAAGTGAAAAGTTATAGTTGTTCGTCCACTTCTGGACTTTGGTCTTGTCTATAAAATGGGTTTGGTTTGCAAATCCAAGGCATAGAATATGTGAAAGCTCCAAACTTTACATCTCAAAGTTATAGGATTACTTTCACCTTCGATAGACGTTGGATAGTGGACAAGTTGAGGCAACCTGAGAATAACGGCACTAGAATGTCTTCAACTGGAACCGACAGAAGCAAATAAATAAAGGCAGACCAAAGAAAACATAGAGAATGTAGCTAAAGGGCAAAGTCAAAAAGGTTTGGATTACATGGGGTGATGGGTTGCATGCGACAGCAAAAGACAGAACTACTTCGCCTGAGGTGGTTGTGGGCCTATTGGGGGTCAAGGGTCAAAGACAGACAACGAAAATATCTGTATCGTTGTCGTATTAGATTATAGACGTATGTATATTGTTAAATAAGAGCTTTTAAACTGAAATGTTGCAGATAAATTTTCAGTGGTCCAAGAAGAAATAAATATTGACATCCTAACAGATCCAGACATCAAGGAATATGGTCTAGGAAACATGGGTATATTCTCTCACTCTTTATGTTTTAATAATTCTAACCTGTAGTCTATTGAAACTGGATAAAATAATCAGCTTGATATGGGTCAACTTAATTGTTTATTAACTTATATATTTTAAAGTGTGCTGCAAGTAACTTGTATATAAAGTAGGAGCCTAGGGGCTTTATATAGCATGGGGCCTCATCGAGTCTAAATCTGGCTTTGGGCGAGAGGCAGTTTCTTTCAAACAGGCTGTGATGAGAGAAACATTATGAAAATAACCTGCTTGCTACATGATGAGTGATATACCCTTAAGGAATTATACGATATTGTAATGACATGTTTCAAACCTCATAAGCAGCCAACAACTTCATCACAGCGATCCACTTGCCAAAGAAGGGCTGGTCTGAGTAACTGGCCTCGGCGCTTCCAAAGGGTATGGCGCCCGTCACACCACCAAACCCACGACCAGGCTGCAGAAGTAAACGTGTCAGTTGTTATTGTTACTACGTTTTATTCAACATCGGTATCGTCGATGCTTTTATTCTTGCTGTTATCGTTGACTTATCATGGTTATCGCAGTAGTTCCGACTACTGTCATTGTTTCAACTTGTGTAGCCAACGTTGTCGTTGTCGCTCTCGACATTGTTATCGTTGACTTATCATGGTTATCGCAGTAGTTCCGACTACTGTCATTGTTTCAACTTGTGTAGCCAACGTTGTCGACGTCGCTCTCACTGATGTATCATTTAGAGCAGGCCTTGCTACAGTTGGAAGTCACCGTGGCGTATCGGCTAGACGCTGGCGTGCTGATCGGAAGGTCGTGGGTTCGCTTCCTGACGGAGTCGGACTTCTTACAAAAATGACCTTGAATCCCAGGTCGACTCAGTCTTAAATGGGTACCGGGTGCAGTCCCGGGAAGTAAAGGCGACAGGCGTGACGCTGACCACATCACCCACCTTGTGCCGATTGGTCTATAAAAATTTAGGTCTAGCCCTATATGTCCTATACGCCTTAAGGCGTGGAAAAGGGTCCTTTACTTATTTTACTTCCTACTGTTGTTGTTACTCAAAATCCAGTGACCATTCAAATGCTTTTCGTCAGCTCACTGCTGTCTTCTAATGTTTGTTTCATTCTGATTATTTGTAACGTTTATATCCATAAACATGTGTAATTATTTTTAAATGGTTTTACACATAGATAACTAACAGGAATGTCCACTTTTATGTATAACTAGCATAAATGTACACTTGTATGTATAGTTAATGTAGATGTCCACTTTTATGTACAACTAATGTAAATATACACCTGTATGTATAGTTAACGTACATGTCCACTTTTATGTACAACTAATGAAAATATACACTTGTATTATAGTTAACGTAGATGTCCATTTGTACGTACAACTAATGAAAATATACAGTTGTGTGTATAGTTAACGTAGATGTCCACTTTTATGTACAACTAATGAAAATATACACTTGTATTATAGTTAACGTACATGTCCATTTGTATGTACAACTAATGAAAATATACACTTGTATTATAGTTAACGTACATGTCCATTTGTATGTACAACTATTGAAAATATACAGTTGTATGTATAGTTAACGTAGATGTCCACTTTTATGTATAATTGAAGTTAGTGTAAGTAGAAAAAAATTAAAAATAACTTTAATACCCACTTTATTACATAACTACGCAAGTCATCACTTTATTTAAAAAAAAGGTTGGGTAAATGACTCTTTCAACGCCCTCGTGCGTGTAGGGTATATAGGGCAAGATCTATATTATATTACCCAATCGGCACTTGGCGGGCGATGCAGTCAGCATCAAGCCGGCTGCCTTTACTTTCCGGGACTATACCTGGTACCCATATAAAGCGGGTTCGAACTGGAACCAAGATTATGTTGTTTTTTTAAAGTCCGGCTTCTTCAGGACCCGAACCCGCAACCTTCCGATCCGCAGGCGAGCGTCTAGCTGCTACACCACGACGGTTCTCACTTTATTATATAATTAACGTAAATGTCCACTCCTATTATAACTAAGGTAAATGTCCACTTTTATTATACATAAGGTAAATATCCACTTTAATTATACATGAGGTAAATGTCCACTTTTATTATAACTAAGGTAAGTGTTTACTTTTATTATACATGAGGTAAATGTCCACTTTTATTATAACTAACGTAAACGTTCACTTTTATTATACATGAGGTAAATGTCCACTTTTATTATAACTAACGTAAACGTTCACTTTTATTATACATGAGGTAAATGTCCACTTTTATTATAACTAACGTAAACGTTCACTTTTATTATACATGAGGTAAATGTCCACTTTTATTATAACTAAGGTAAATGTTAACTTTTATTATAGCTAACATAAATGTCCACTTTTATTATAACTAAGGTAAATGTAAACTTCTATTATAAATAAGGTAAATGTAAACTTCTATTATAAATAAGGTAAATGTAAACTTCTATTATAAATAAGGTAAATGTAAACTTCTATTATAACTAAGGTAAATGTAAACTTCTATTATAAATAAGGTAAATGTAAACTTCTATTATAAATAAGGTAAATGTAAACTTCTATTATAAATAAGGTAAATGTAAACTTCTATTATAACTAAGGTAAATGTAAACTTCTATTATAAATAAGGTAAATGTAAACTTCTATTATAAATAAGGTAAATGTAAACTTCTATTATAACTAAGGTAAATGTAAACTTCTATTATAACTAAGGTAGATGTAAACTTCTATTATAAATAAGGTAAATGTTCACTTTTTTTTATTTACTAACGTAAATGTCTAATTTTAAATGTAGCTATATTTATGTTTATTTTATATATAGTTACCATAAATGTTCAGAACTATATATAAATAAAGCAAATTTTCACTTTTATATATAAATTACGTTAATGCTCTCTTTTAGATATAAAAATTAATGTCCACTTTTATATACAATGGACACAAACGTCCACTTTTATAAATATTTCACGTAAATATCCGCTTTTATATAAATTAACATAAATGTCTACTTTTGTATATAAATGTAAATGTCCACTATATACATATTTCACGTCAATGTCAATTTTTTAACATAAAAGTAAATGTCCACTTGTATTAACTGTTTCGGTTCATTTTTATGAATAACTAACGTAAATGTTCACTGTTATTATAATTAATGTAAATTTTCAGTTTTATAGACAGACAGACACATATACCTTTGCCCCGGGAGCTTTCAGGGCGTCGGTGACCATGTCACTGCCAACCACTGGGTTTATTTTGAGATTTATGTCTGAAATGGCATAGGAAAATCAGTGATGAGAACATACACATCAAATGTTGAACGATACTTTGGATCAGGGTAGAGAGATCTTTGCTTCGGGGACGATTTCAATGTGTATAGCATAATTCACGGCCCAACACAATTATCAGCCCAACATTTTGTGTCTTGAACACGGCACAATGTTTGATCTCAAGGTCTGGTCTGTATGACTGTGTTTTTTATTTATTTATTTTTTTTTAATATATTTTATGTTTTAAACAAACGTTAGACTCCCCAAATAAAGTAGGTCACGTTCCATTGGTAACTTTGTTAGCCTGGTCTACTTTACTGGGGGTTACGGGTGTGCAGCTCTATTTGCTTTCTGGCTTGTCTTGCATTTACGTTTTTCTTCAGGGAAAGAGAATTCCTGTGACATAGGTTGCAGCACTCTCAAAGGGTGTTGTGTGTTAGACCCAGTTTGTCCATGTTTTTGGAGTGTTAAATGCGCTGGCGTGCTGAAATATACAACAAGCGATATCAACAGCATTGCGGAAACCACTTGTGCGAAGACTACGTGGCTCAAGGTCGACCAGTCTGAAGTGAGCTAGGCTGAAGGTCGACCAATCAATAATTAGGTAGTGTGTAACACTGTGTAAATGGAGTGACTAACTTTACTTGTATCCTTTTATGTTTGGTCTGGTTGTGCTGTATACATGTTGCTAAATATTTTAGTAGGGTGGGGGGGGGGCATAAAAGTACCTTTGGAAGTATTATATGATGCTCAGGAGCGCCGCAACCAAGGGCTCCGAAAACTTGGACAACCAAAATAAATTTTGGATAGAGGGGCCTGAGCTTTCTTACACCCTCCCCAACCAAATAATCTGTATTGGGGCCAGAGCCTCCCCCCTCCCCCTAGGTTGGCGTCCCTGTTGATGCTCGTTTCATCGTGGTAAATGTGCCCTACTGGGATTTTATTATTAAATTGTCTTGGATTGAAACTAAAGTAAATCATTTGTTCCGAAGCCTTTAGGCGTTTTGGGCATATAGGGCTAGAACTAAATTTTCATAGACCAGTCTGCACTCGATGGGTGATATGGTCAGCATCACACCGGCCACTGTATCCATAGGACTATATCTGGCACCCACCAAAATCTGAGTCGACCTTCGAGCCAATGTCATTTTTAAATAAATCGGGATCCGTTGGGATTTGAACTTAAGTCTAGCAGCTAAACCAAGGCAGCTGCCTTCCTGGACTACCAGATTGTGACCGGTACCATCAGTATTTGAACTCTGTGCTGGCTGCTGAAAATAAGGAGGGAGCACGCATGGGAATGCCCCGAATGCTGGATGTCACTTCTTGACTTAACTCAACTCAACTTAACTCCCTTCCTGGGCTGTAAGCATTAACAGTTAACTGGTTATTTTTAGTGAAACAGTTTATCAGCGCATTCATGATTCACTTAATATAAATGTATGTTAATTTTTAACACACACCAAACAAAACCTGCTTTACTTATTGAATTACGAGTCACGCTTCCAGCTGCCTTTTACGGTCTGCGAATGGGACTTTCTACGCTCTTCTCGCTTCAGGTCAATGTTAAAACATTGATTTTAAAATGTGTATGTGCTGATTTTCACCAAAAAAGCAATAAAACAATACAAAAACGTAGCCTAACTTTACCAACTATAGCGATAACTGAACCAACTATAGCGATAACTGCACCAACTATAGCGATAACTGCACTAATTATAGCGATAACTGCACCAACTATAGCAATAACTGTGCCAACTATAGCGATAACTGCACCATCTATAGCCATAACTGCCCCAACTATAGCGATAACTGCACCATCTATAGCGATAAATGCACTAACTATAGCGATAACTGCCCCAACTAAAGCGATAACTGCACCAACTATAGCGATAACTGCACCAACTATAGCGATAACTTCACCAACTACCTTCTTGTTTCTTTTCTGTTTCTGCATTGTTTCCAAGCTCTTCTTCGTACTTCTTTGTGGGCAACTCTTCATCATCAGAGTATTCCTCCACAAGTCTTTCTCTGTCTATCTTTCTGTGACCTGAGATGATCTTTTTCACCTTGTTCTTGACCTTTCCTGGGACTTCAGACAACTTCAGGTCCTGGCTGTGGTGGTCAAAGCGAAACTGTGGAAATAATATTAGAAAGTGCAAAGATTTCTCAGAGTGGAAATAAGATTAGAAAGTGCAATGGTCTCTAAGAGTGGAAATAAGATTAGAAAGTGTACTTTTCTTCCATTCTTCTTCTTCTTCTTCTTCTTCTTCTTCTTCTTCTTCTTCTTCTTCTTCTTCTTCTTCTTTTTCTTCTTCTTCTTCTTCTTCTTCTTCTTCTTCTTCTTCTTCTTCTTCTTCTTCTTCTTCTCTTCTTCTTCTTCTTCTTCTTCTTCTTCTTCTTCTTCTTCTTCTTCTTCTTCTTCTTCTTCTTCTTCTTCTTCAGTATTCTGAGCCCTTGAGGTTCATTGCTGCAGATATCACCCACCTCCGTTCATCTCTCTGTTTGGCCTTCTTCAGCATTCCGAGCCCTTGAGGTTCATTGCTGCAGAAATCACCCGTCTCTATACATCTCTCTGGTTGGCCTTCTTTAGCATTCCCAGCCCTTGAGGTTCATTGCTGCAGATATCACCCGTCTCTATACATCTCTCTGGTTGGCCTTCTTCAGCATTCCCAGCCCTTGAGGTTCATCGCTAAAGATATCACCCACCTCCATTCATCTCTCTGGTCGGCCTTCTCTTTCCAGTTAGTGACACCAAGTTTTTGCAGGTCTGTCTGGACGTTATCTTTCCATCGTCTTCTTGGTCTGCCTCGTGGTCTACCACCATCTATCTTCCTTGTGTATACAGTTTTCACGTCTGTCATCTAACATTCACTCAAAATGCCCCAACCATTTCAGTAATTTTCTTCCATTGTCGGAATAAATTAGGAAATGTACTTTTCTTTCACTGTAGGAATAAATTAGGAAGTGCATTTATCTTATTATGGTAATAACTTAGGAAGTGTACTTATCTGTCATTGTGGGAATAAATTAGGAAGCGCGCTAATCTTCCATTGTTGGAATACATTATGAAGTGTACTCATCTTCTATTGTTGGAATACATTTATGAAAGTGTACTCATCTTTCATTGTGGGTATACATTAGGAAATCTTCTCATCTCTTTTTACATGGGAAAAAATAGAAACTAAACTAATCTTCCCTTTTGGAGACAAATTAGAAAGTATACTTATCACTTATTGTCGTGTGCGTGAGAGAGAGGGAGTGAGTGTGTGTGTGTGTGTGCGCGTGTGTGTGTATGTGTTATACATTATTTTAACTTCTGTAGATGTTGATCGGGGTATCTGGGATCTGCCCTGTTTGTCAGCTACCATCCTAAATATACTGCACGACCCCCAAGACTCCCTCCTCTCCCCGCCCACCCCCGAATTTAATCTATATATATATATAATGTAGATGTTATTCTATTAATTAGATTTTAACGGTAGAGGCACAAACCGCTCATGACAATCTAAATGTCCTTGAAAATTCCCCCCCCTCCCCCCCCCCCCCCCCATTACCCAGGGGAGCACCTCCAGGTTGATAACCACTGATCTAACATTATGTATTATGTGTTTTATATGTCATGATACGTGCTATAAGAGAGAGAGAGAGAGAGAGAGAGAGAGAGAGAGAGAGAGAGAGAGAGAGAGAGAGATGGAGGAAGAGAGAGAACAGGAAGGAGGACAGGGTCAACCAAAGATTGGAATATTTATGTAATGCAGATATGTGAGTGGATTTATCGGGTGGGGGGGGGGGTGAGAAAGTTATACAAACACACTGATTGGCACCTTTCCGTCTTTCCAGACGATAGATCGGATCGCCGTCGGATCACATATTGCGCTGTGAGGAGCATGGGACTCACAGCCCGTGACGATGGCGATGGCGAGTGTGACTAGCAAGACCCGCCCCTGTCAAGAAAGGTCTTCCACAATTATAGCATGGGATTTCAGGACCGTTATTGTCAACATTTGTGTTTACTCTGTTTCTTCTCGGACGCTCAGCTCTCATCCTTTCTGTAATCATTTCCTCCTTCATTCTCAGTCCCTTCCTGGTGTGCTCCCTCTAAACAACACGGTTCATGGCAGGTTGTGCCCACCAGTCCAGCTCAATACCGGTATCTCTCATGTCCCGGTTGCACAATTTTTATAACGTAGTAGAGGTCGTTCTCGGCATCTTCTACCCATCTTTAATTCATCACAGAGGACATCCTTAGGGGCTCTACCATCCTCCATTCACCAGGTGAGCTTCGTAGACGAAGCATTGAGAAACAAACACACACACACACATATATATAGACACATACAAAACACACCTACACTCGTGAAGATGACATTACCTGCAGCGCCGCCAGAAAGGCACAGCTCATCAAAACGCAGAAGACAGCGAAACACACTGTGTAGTTTTTCTCCCTGATGTGTGCTTTACCACAGGGATGGTCCGGAAACGTGGTTGAGTGATCCAGTGCCATGCCCACAAAAAACATGGCCAAACCCCAGCCTGTGTGAGAAAATACATTATTTAGACTTGTCATTTTTCTATAGTGAGAATTAACTGTTGTTTTATTTCGGTATTTTTGTTAATCTAGTATTTTAGTAAACATACTAGTCTTGTACACACCAATAAAGGAAATCTTGTTTCAGCGCAACGACGAATGTCCCTCTTATATGCGATTGAAATATAGTTTCTGTGTTGATTCTGTTAACTTCGCAAAAGAAAAGTGACTAATTGGGTCACTTGGTATCAGTCTTTGAGGCTGCAAAAAGGAACAGTGGTATATGAGGAAAAAAATTGTGGGGGGGGGGGGGAGGGAATAATCCCAACTGCGAGCGATTTGCCAGCAAACTGCGTTGCGTTGATTTTAACAGTGGTATCCAGCGCCGATTTTTTTAGAAAGCAGTGGCAAACTGCTGAATGTAAAATTGCCTAGTGAAATCACAACTAGCCTTGCAAAATGGTGGTGTTGGTCAACGTCATGTAAAAGACACACAACAAACTTATTTTTCAGATAATTCTCATCAAAATCAGCCAACACTTCTTTTGCAGAATGTCCCCCATCACCTGTTCAGTGAAGGATTCTCGATCTTGCTCCGTGCATTTTCGGGTACATGGTGTCTTTACTGTTGTAGATTTTGTTGGTTGGGGTGGGGGAACTGCTGACACAGTGTATGGCCGTATCTGAGCAACTAAAGTAGAGGACCTTCTTTACGCGATTACTTTTCAGGACTTTTCCTTGTACCCATTTAAGGTTTAGCAATCTGGCAGTTCTAAGTGGAATACCCATACATACACAAAAATTGTCTAAATAAGGATTCAAAACAGTGTTCTTGTTAGAAAGCTAAAGGACGATCGAATGAAAGCTCGGCGACCGAATTACCTTTGTTTTCAAAGGCAGGCAGACTCATTTTACATTAATACCATCCAACAACGTATCTTTCAAACAGCAACTACATTTCATAGCTTATTTATCTTAACTGCATATATCAAAAAGGATAATTTAACTACAAAGCTTAAAGTTGCGTGTTCAGAGAAACAGACATGAGAATGTTGAGGAAAATGCCACTATACTAAACATACATTGCTGAATGTTTACCTAGAAGAGGAGCAATTACACTGAATACAAGCGGTTGTATTTTTACTTAGAGGAGGACAACTATACTAAACATACACGGTTGAATGTTGACCTAGAGGAGGACAACTATACTAAACATACATGGTTGAATGTTGACCTAGAGGAGGACAACTATACTAAACATACACGGTTGAATGTTGACCTAGAGGAGGACAACTATACTAAACATACACGGTGGAATGTTGACCTAGAGGAGGACAACTATACTAAACATACACGGAGGAATGTTGACCTAGAGGAGGACAACTATACTAAACATACACGGCTGAATGTTGACCTAGAGGAGGACAACTATACTAAACATTCACGGTTGAATGTTGACCTAGAGGAGGACAACTAAACGAAACATACACGGTTGAATGTTTGCCTAAAGGAGGCAACTATACTGAACATTCACGATTGTACGTCAACCTTGAGGACGACAATTACACTAAAAACACACGACTGTATGTTTATCGAGAGGAAAACCAATATACTAAACACACACGGTTGTGTGTTTACCTAGAGAAGGACAACTATACTAAACACGCACGGTGGTATGTTTACCAAGAGGAGGACAACTATACTAAACACACATGGTTGTATTTTTACCTAGAAAAGAACAACTATACTAAACATACACGGTTGTGTGTTTACCTAGAGGAGGACAACTATACTAAACCCACATGGCTGAATGTTTACCTAGAAGGACAACTATACTAAACCCACAAGGCTGAATGTTTACCTAAAAGAGGACAACTATACAAAACCCACATGGCTGAATGTTTACCTAAAAGAGGACAACTATGCAAAACACACACTGCTGAAAGTTTACCTAGAAGGACAACTATACTAAACCCACATGGCTGAATGTTTACCTAAAAGAGGACAACTATACAAAACACACACTGCTGAAAGTTTACCTAGAAGGACAACTATACTAAACCCACATGGCTGAATGTTTACCTAAAAGAGGACAACTATTCAAAACACACACTGCTGAAAGTTTACCTAGAAGGACAACTATACTAAACCCACATGGCTGAATGTTTACCTAAAAGAGGACAACTATACAAAACACACACTGCTGAAAGTTTACCTAGAAGGACAACTATACTAAACCCACATGGCTGAATATTTACCTAAAAGAGGACAACTATACAAAACACACACTGCTGAAAGTTTACCTAGAAGGACAACTATACTAAACCCACATGGCTGAATGTTTACCTAAAAGAGGACAACTATACAAAACACACACTGCTGAAAGTTTACCTAGAAGGACAACTATACTAAACCCACATGGCTGAATGTTTACCTAAAAGAGGACAACTATACAAAACACACACTGCTGAAAGTTTACCTAGAAGGACAACTATACTAAACCCACATGGCTGAATGTTTACCTAAAAGAGGGCAACGAAACAAAACACACACACGGATGAATGTTTACCTATAGAACCAAACATCCGCTGTCGTCCATAATTCTGCACGTCCTCGCCCAGAAATGACAAGGTCACGGAGTCGGCGAAGGTCACGGCGGGAGCGCTGAAGAACTCGCCAATAATCACAAGTAGCAAAAGAATAAAGAATGCGTGCTTGACCTGGCCCTCCTGATCAAAACAGAAACGGACAATCGGATAATAATAATGGTATCTGTCAGTCGGTTAGGTTCACGTAAGTCTTCCCAAATAGAGTAGGTCACTTTCCATTTACAAGTTTGTTGGGCTGGTCGACTTTCCTGAATGTTACGGTTGTGTCCTGCTCTGTTGTTTGCTTTCTGCGATGTCTTGCATAAACGTTTTCATTCCCAGAAAGATGATGTCTGTGACATAAGTTGCAGCACTCCCTGGGGGTGGGGTGAGGAGATGTTAGACCCAGTGAAGTGCCAAAAGCGCTGGCCTGCTGAAATATACAACATGCGATATCAACGGCATTACGGAACACCCCCGTGACCGTGTGCGAAGGACACGGGGCTCAGGAACTACCAATCAGAATTGAGCTAGTATGTATATGGGTGGGGTCTAGGGATACTAACGTCGAATTAACCCCGTCAGTCTCTGGGGACTGTGTAGATGTGCAGCTGGCTTTGGGAACACCATCTGCTGTGACTCCCAAGTCCAGTGCGGGAGCGACAGTCTCTGCTACATAGGGTACACGAAGAAGCCGATGCTCCATCGCTATGAGGCTGATTTACTCTTCGGTGTCTCCCATCTATAGCTCGCTGCGTTTGGTTTCTTTCAAAGTGCGACAAACTGTCATTGTGATTAAAGAATGTAGATTGCCTTTTTTTTGATGTGGGTAATTAGTTCTCTTCGTGATAGTCAGTTTAATTCACGACAGCTTCATTACTCTTTTTATCTGTCCAGGATTTTCTGATCATTCGTCCATAAAATCACATCTCTGCAGCTTCCTCATAATTTTTCTCTATTTAGTCAAATATCCGTGATTCACACTCTCATATCAGGATAGGATTTATATAGCTCTTGAGAATGCGCTTTCTCGCCTCAACTGATAAAGAAAGATCGTGTAGAATACTCTTAATTGTATCAAATGCAGCGTTTGCTATTCTACATTTAACTTCTTTAATCTTCCATCCGATGCAATCATAGTACCCACATATTTAAACGTATCAGCGTGCTCAGAGACTGTCCCACTTACTTTGATATTATAATGCGGAGGGTCAGTTTTCTTTCTAATTATCACGTTTTCTGCTTTTCTGCTGTTCAAACTAAGACCCCCCCCCCCCCCCATTTTTTGTTTACTTTCTGTTACAATTATATCCATCCTTTCTTGCAGTTGTGTTTCATTTTTCGCGATCAATATATCGTCAGCATATCACAAACTGTTCAGAATATGCCCATCAACCGATATTTCTTGCATGCCATATATGGAGCTTATTATTATTGCACTGTACAAATAAATAAAGCGGGTGATAATACACATCTCTGCCTTTTTTACTGTTCTGAAAAGTCCCCAGTTGGCTGTCATTTTTTTTTTCTGCTTCTTGCAGAAAGTAAAGTTAGATAGCAGGCAGGTTATCGTCACTGCCTGTAGAACCAATCAGTCTATAAAAACTCAGATTCCCTCTTCAGTATATTAATCAGTGTGTTGGTTTATAATTTATTTATTTATTTTTTTTTTTTTTTGGCTTCTTTCATATGCCCGTATCTGGCCTCATCCCTTCAGGTTTGCACTTCTGGCAGTCTGTTGAAGATTCACAGTCATCGCTTGATTCGTCTAATCCTTTTACGTCTTGTAGACCGTTCTTTGTATCCGCCTGGCCCATTTCTCTTGGCCCTCTTTCCATAATATTGGTTTTTGCCTGCAAGCCTATAAGCTTCTTCGTTTTCTCTTACACCATCATGTTTTGCCTCCACTTTTTTACGGATTTTGATTTATATATTAAGGTATCTTCATCTTCTCCGTCCCCATGTGGGAGGAATTTTTCGTTATTTTAAAGCCCCATCCTGGTTGTTGCCGGGGCCCTTATATAACTTAAAGGTTGAACAGAGTTTATGTGACCTCTCCACGGTTGATCCTGATCCAAATTGTCGCACTTTGTGTCACCGGATGTTTATCCCTCAGTGTGATGTCCTGGTGGGGTTTAAAGTCAATCAGGTGGTTTATAGTTAACTTTAGTGAACCTCGAGTACCAAGACTCGTTTCCTGCTAGGGACGGTTTTTAAAAAAATCGTTCTCGTAGTTGTCAAACAGTGGTGCGATAGACACACCGTGGAAGAGATTAGGCCCTCACCACGAAATATTCCCAGAGACAACAGTGGTACACTATAGCCAACTTTCATGGTGGAGACGGCAAAGAATTCCTTCTTACAGTTACCTCAGAGACTCCTAATGGGATCTCAACGCCCAGCCAGTCTCACTCTCCCTAAATATACTCTCTGTGACGCTGAGAAAGTAGTTCTGAGTGTAGATTTACCACTGTTCTTCTTCTTCTTCTTTCGTTTGTTTGAAATAAATTATCTATATCTGCACTGCCGTCTCTAGTAATGAATTTCACTGTCTATGTTAATTCACTTAGCGGCCCGTAAAGTTTAGCTTCCATCAGTGCCTCTCTAGGCCAAACGTTTTGCCTGCAAACGTTGTGTCTGGGACAGTCTTAGAAGATGTGATCTGTTGTCTCAGGTGCCGGACCGCAGGTACACATGGCTGATTCGCCAATCTGAAATTTTGAGTACATTTGCCTGCGAATTCCATTGTGACCAGTTCTTAGGTGTAGAATAACGACTTGTTTTGTTCTGTCCATAAAATGGTAATCGCCTTGCGACAGTTTCGGTGGCTTTCTGGTTGATTTTGTTGATAAGAGACTGACTAATCCGTCAGGTTGTTCTTCAGTTGCACCTTCCTTAGCTAGTTTATCAGCTTTTTCATTGCTGGTGACGGTTATGAAAACGGACTTGTTGCAAGCCCTCATCTCCGAAGGAAAATAAAGAGAACACGCTAAACTTGGATTGTGAAGGATTATAATAAATGCACGCTGTATAAGTCATACAGACAATGACAATCCTTATCATCAAGTGCCTTGCCGACGGGCGCGAGCCATCATATCTCTTCATACTCTGCGATCTTCAAGAGCATGTTTTTGCCCTGACAAAAGGTTGTTGTCTTCCTGTGACTCCTTTTTTCCACAGATCTTTCCAATGACCACAAATGATCTACTTTCATTCTTCTTGTAAACTGACCAAAACAATTATAACTGTATTTTTCAGTTCTTTGTAATAAACTGTTTTCGATTCCTAGCCTCTTTCAAAACATCTGAGTTGCTCGTTTTAGCTGTCCGAAGAATACTACGGACTCTTCTGTAAAAGCCCATCTCTGATATCTCAAGAAATTGTTTGGCTTGTAAAAGTCAAATATACTTGAACCCAAGATGGCCAAATCTCAATCTGGTCGGCAGACCATCAGAGCAGATCTCTGATACCCTGTACAACCTCCAAAAATATCAAAACTGGGGTACGATACTAGCCTGGTGTAACCTGTAGTCCTATGCCAGTAAGGAGTGAGGTCCATTGAGCCCATTAATTTTAGTCGATAACAAATGGGGAAAACGAGCAGTAACAATAAGTTATGTTTTTTACCAATATGGAGTATCTTTGGCAAATGTACAGGAAAAGATAACAAATAAAATATCACAAAATTATAATAAGACCAGGTTGTTGTTGTTGTTATCGATGCAGCGCGATGGAGCTTTTGCCCTCTGGCCCAATGCCATGTAGCGGATATTGCATGTTTTCACAAGCTATTCTTTTCCTCCGTACAAGGTGTTCCACTAGTCTGGTCTCGGAGGGAGTAGCGTTCTTCTAGTCTCGCTGAGTTTTGGGCACTCAAAGAGATGGTGTTCAACAGTTTCGTAGTGGTAGTTACATAGCTGGCACTCTGGGGAGTGTCGTGGTTGTATTCTGTTTAGATGTCCACTGAGTGGAGTAAGTTGTGTTCTGAGTCTGAAGATGGTGGCCTGGTCCCTTCTTGTTAAATGGTTAATGCTGTCATTAAGATCAGGGCCAGCCATATGTCTATAAACCTCTCTTCTAGTGTCTCCCATGGCCTATCTGTTCAACCAAGTCTCTTTGTTTATAGCTCTTATAAGTGTTTTTGCTGTCTGGAGGGTTGTCGCTGTAGGTGGTTGTTCTTGTTTTGCTCCTTTCTTTGCCAATCTGTCAGCTCTGTCATTACCTGGTGTGCCGGCGTGGCCTGGAATACACAGCTTCACTATTCTGATATTGTATGAGGTATTAAGCTAATTTTGATAAAATTAGGATCCATAATTATCTTGGCTATGTCAGTTCTGCAGCGTTCACTGCCTTCCAGAGCTTGAAGGGCAGACATTGAAATTGTGAAGATGGCAATATTTTAGGCCGTTGAAAGGTAAACATCCGTTACAGTCTAGATGGTATACTACTGTTTCCAGTGCAAATATTTCGGCTTCATAATTTTAGCAGAATTCCCAGGATGCATTAAAAATCCCTTCAACAGATCCATCGGGATAGCCTATGTGGATTCCGTAACCTGCTTTAATGGTAGCTGTAAATGCAGATCCATGAGTATAAACTTGTATCCATATTTCAGGGTAATATTCAAAGGTCTTTAGCGATGAGCTCATAAGGGCGAATGGGTCAGACTGTTTAGTGTCTTTGTCTACCAATTTCATTTGGACTTTCTGGAGCTTTAAAGCGAGCATCTATTGGTAGGTTTCTTGCAACATTCTGGATGCCCTGCCGTCTTTTTGGTAGGTGATATCTGTCCTGTTTTTCATGTACACAGTGTAAACCCGATTTGTGCTTTATTCTTTGTTTGTATTCCAAGTTTTCTACAAGGTGTCTATTAGGATGGATACGATTCAATCTAACACATCTTTCATAAATTTATAAAGTGGCCGGTAAATAACAAACGGTAAAATCGTATAATAACTTTAAAAGGTGGGTGAGGGGGGTGGGGGTTAACAAAAGAAACTGGTCAATATTCTGCCGGAATATACCGGTAATTCAAAATAAAAATAGACTTGGGGAAGTGAAGGCGGTCGGTGTTATGTAAACCACATTATCCATGAGAGGTCGATTGATCTATAGAACTATGAGTATTGTATCATATATCTGATATTTGACTGGCGAGAAAAGGATATTTAGAAACATGAATGGGTGGTATGTGATGATGACTGACTTTCTACCCCACCAGGACATCACACTAGCAATAAACACCCGATGACACAAAGTGCCACCATGTGGATGAGGATCGCCGTGGAGAGGTCCCAGAAACCGCGTTCAGACTATTGGCCATATTTATAGCCTACCTATTTTGCGGCCCCTGGCAAAAGCCTGGGTGGGGCTTCAAATAACAAGAAATTTCGTCCTAAAAAGGACGAAACTAGATAATCTGATGATCTTGATACTTACTTGATACACAACCACACTGTGCTGGTAACGTTACATACCTGATAGACAACCACACTGTGCTGGTAACGATACATACCTGATAGACAACCACACTGTGCTGGTAACGTTACATACCTGATACACAACCACACTGTGCTGGTAACGTTACATACCTGATAGACAACCACACTGTGCTGGTAACGATACATACCTGATACACAACCACACTGTGCTGGTAACGTTACATACCTGATAGACAACCACACTGTGCTGGTAACGTTACATACCTGATAGACAACCACACTGTGCTGGTAACGTTACATACCTGATACACAACCACACTGTGCTGGTAACGTTACATACCTGATAGACAACCACACTGTGCTGGTAACGATACATACCTGATAGACAACGACACTGTGCTGGTAACGATACATACCTGATAGACAACCACACTGTGCTGGTAACGTTACATACCTGATACACAACCACACTGTGCTGGTAACGTTACATACCTGATAGACAACCACACTGTGCTGGTAACGTTACATACCTGACAGACAACTACACTGTGCTTGTAACGTTACATACCTGATAGACAACCGCACTGTGTTGGTTAAACAACAAGCCCTTGACATCTGAGACATTGACATTGGCAATCTTACTGGGGTCAATCTCCTGGTATCCTCGTTTGTAACGGTTGTGGATGTAGAAGGAAGTCAAGTCAGCAGGGAGAACTATTGACCCTGGTTTGGGGGAATTACCGAAACCGGCACTTTCGAACAAACGCCCCAATTCTAAATGTGAAGGTAAATTTGCATCCTTCGATGATTGATGGTGATTATACAAGTTGTATGAATCAGATGCAAAATCTTTCAGCAGTGCTCTATGGTCGTTGTTATGAATGTTTATTTCAGGATTCAGATTTGGAACTCCGTCTGACGTTAACATTCCGTTATCAGAAAAGTGGTACACAGGTGTTGCGTGCATTGGGTTATCCCGTCGTCGTCGCCCTATAGGGACCTCAAGAATGTTGTGGGTGCCGTTGAAGGTGAGACATTTGTGAGCCGGAGGTTGGACAAACGCGATGGCCACGGTGAAGACGATCCAGCAGAGAATGGAGAAGAGCAACATCTCCTTACCTCGCCTCCATCTATCAGCGAGAGAGCCCCAGAATGGAGCACTTAAAAACTCTATAAAAGGCCTGAAACCAATTAGTAATCCTGTCTGAGACGCATTCATTCCCAGTTGTTTAAAATATATTGCCAGTAGAGGAAAAAGCGAACCAAACGCCCCAAAGAAGAATAAATAAAACAGTTTGCAGTACAACAGGTCTTTGTTGACAACGGTACAGACAGAATCAATGAAATCTCGGCTGAATGGGTGCAAAGATTTTTTCGGGGTCAGAAATGATTGTGACCGGCTTCTGTTCTGATTTGGATCGCTGTCAAAATTACTTGCTTTCACGTTCTGGAACGGGTCAAAGTCCGATTCTGGGCGATCCTGTCCCTTGTAGATGTTCGCCATCTTGTCGTTGTTGTTGTTGTTGTTGCTACTGTTGCGTTGTTGTTAGATTAGACGCAAAATTTACAATAATTCATGTCTGTTACCGGAAACACTGTTCCCTGGACTGTCTTAGGTGTGGATTTTCATCAGCAATTTCTCAGCTCCGATATCTGGGGTGGAAAATAGAAAACATCTGGTTTAAGAGTAATGATATGTAAAATAAATGAAAAGTACATGACCCTTTTTTGCGACTTTGTGTAATTTGGGCATATAGGGTTAGACTAAATTTTGGGTATATACCAATCGACACTGTGTGGGTGATGTTTTCAACATTATGCAGACCGCTTTTACTTCCCAAGATTTTACTTGACAACCATTTAAGGTTGTGTCGACCTTGGAGCCAGGGTCATTTTTGTAAAGTCCAGCTCCTTTCGGATTTGCACCCATGAACTGTTGGATCCGCAAGAAATCATCCAATAGCTACAACATGGTGGCTCCCAAATTTTTTTTTTTTTCTAAATCTAAAAACCATGAGTTGTTAACCCTTTGAATCGTTGTTAACCCTTTGGATCGGTACTATGGATATCGCAACCCTAAATGATAGATACCGTAAATCTGAGAGAAATGTGGCGTTTCTGCCTACTCCCGAGCGTGAACCCGGACCACAAGGAGTTCGTCACCTGATCGCCGCGGAAAGAGTTTTAACCACCTGCGCTAGCGAGCCGGGCGGCTCCCGAAATAAATGTTTTTTCCCAAGTTATCATAACTTGGCCTAAAATGTCGGCATGGGACCCACAATTATGGAACTTTTCCTCATCCTAAACTGGACTCATACATTTGTTTTCCAACGCACATACGCACACAAAAAACCCGTATAATCTTCTTCTTTCTTCTTCGCGTTTACCGGCTGTAAACTCCTGCAGAAAGTTCTGGTTGTTCGTCCACTTCTGGACAACAGTCATGTTCCAAAACCTGAATGTTGCGTGTGCATCGGTTTGACAGATCTGATTAATTTGTATGAAGACTGTTGGTTCCTTGCCTCTCAGGCAGATGCACTTCGACTTCGAAAGAAGATTCCAATTAGTCGACTCTTACGACATGCTTTTGGGTAGGCAATGGGTTTATTCTTGTTTTCCCTATAATAGGGCTCCGGAACCCACACGGGAAGTCTATATAATGATAATAAGGACCAAAAGATAAAATATGTCGTAAAGGTCCTAACCAACAGAATGAATTAACATACATAAAAAGTTTTTTTTACGTGCGCTACAATACACACGGGTGTCTGATCTTACTACCAAGAGACCGGGGCAAATTACTAGAAGTCCAGCTTTCACCGGGGCTTGAACCCGGGACCTCCAGCACTCGAGGCAGACGCCATGCCTCGCAAGCTCCCTTTCCCTTTGACAGAATTGTAGCTTCTTTTACACTGTATACAATATTGCAGCCCAATTCGCAACCCTTTAAAAATAAAGTTCCGTCGTTCGTTCGACATAAGAACAATGGAAGGGAAAATGTTACAACTAACAATATACAACAATGCTGTGTGATTTAAGTTCATCGAACTGTTCGCCATTGACATCTCAGCAGTTTCGCAACGCTTTGGAGTCACTCGTGGCTTGCTGACGTCCACACACTTACTGTACAAGCAGCAGTTTATTTCTGAATGTCGACCTCTGGCGGTTTCAGTTCGTGAAACTTCTCACTTAAATCAGTTAGGAATCAACGTGAGAGTACTGGGGACATTTACAGTTCCGATGCTACACAATACATACAGCAGATACTTACACACTCACACATACAGCAGACAATTACACACTCACACATACAGCAGACACTTACACACTCACACATACAGAAGACACTTACACACTCACACATACAGCAGACACTTACACACTCACACATACAGCAGACACTTACACACTCACACATACAGCAGACACTTACACACTCACACATACAGCAGACAATTACATACTCACACATACAGTAGACACTTACACATTCACACATACAGCAGACACTTACACACTCACACATACAGCAGACACTCACATACTCACACATACATCAGACACTTACACACTCACACACACAGCAGACACTTACACACTCACACATACAGCAGACACTTACATACTCACACATACATCAGACACTTACACACTCACACATACAGCAGACAAATACACACTCTTACATACAGCAGACAAATACACATTCATACCTACAGCAGACACTTAAACACTCACACATACAGAGTCATATACACTCATACGTATACATACATGCATACACAGATGCAAACACACACGCGCTTTCATTCAAACACATACATGCACAAACATAAGAACTCATATGTGTGCATGAATACACAAACATACACAGACATACACACATAAACTTATATACCAAGAATACGCACTCACACATATGCATACATATGCATACATATACATACACACACAGACACGAACACCGGCGCTTATACATACAGAAACACAGGCACTCACACATACGCATATATACACACTTATTCTTAAATATACATGCAATAACATACATTAGTACACATACGTGAACCAACACTCATGCATCTCACACTCATACATACACGCACATGTACAAACCCCATATATATATATATATATATATATATATATATATATATATATATATATATATATATATGTGTATATATATATATATATATATATATATATATATATATATATACAGTCACTTCCATGAACATATAAATATTCATATTGCCACGTACCAACACAGATGTACACTCATACATACATTTGTATTCATACATATACACCCATGCATACCTACTTATGCATACATTCACATGCATACACTCACATTCATTTACATCTATGCCTACCCATATATACCCAAACACTAATACATACAAATATTCGTACATATCCAAGCATGCACATACAAACACGCACGCACACTCAGACATACCCAGAAAAGACTACTGACCTCATCAGTGATTCTGGTCATCGGGTAAGATGGTAAACATGATCCAAAACTGCTGTGCAAAAGGCGTTTGATGATGATGATGATGATAATGGTGATGATGATTTTGTTGATGATGATGTTTTTGTTGATGATTTTGTTGATGATGATGTTTTTGTTGATGATGATGATGAAGATGATGATGATGATGTTTTTGTTTATGATGATGGTGATATTTAGCTTGGTCGACCTACAAGGTCAGGTCCTTCTAAATCAAATTCACTTCTCGAAAATTGGGAGGAGAAGTGGGTTCCGAAAATAGTAGCATCTCGCCGGCAGACAAACGAGATAGACAATGTCCTAACGCAACATGACATGATAAAACACACAAGCCACTTAATTCTTCAAAGTACTGAAACAAAATACCCACATCAAGAAAACTGCGAACGCGAAATATACCAGCCTCCATTATCAATCCTCTTAGCTGGTGTGAATCTGAAATTTAATCCATTTTTATAATAATTCCCCTCAAAACAACAAAACAGGCAAAGAAAACACCACCCGGCACGGTAATTATAGATTTCGATTTTCGTGGTGTCTAGTTTGTTTTTCTATCTTTCTATTTCTTTCTATGAGTGCCAATCAATGCATTTTCTGTTACTTTAATAATAAAGAAATCACCACACTGAGTGTCTTCATTTAGCAGAACCAACGCTCTGCCAAAAGAGTCCCACCCAGAGAAAACTGTTTTACAACCTTCTTCAGTAACCAGAAAACTTGGCGCTGTTCCGCGAAAAACCGGAACACGTCAAATTTCCACTGAGCGTGCGGGTAGTCGGATTTATCAATAATCTGTACGAGTATGGACAGATGCAGGGGAGACAGGAGGGAGGCATCGTTCGGCCAAAAAATGATATATTAAAAAAATCTGCGGGCAAACCTTATCATTAGACAAAGGCGCCGACACATAGAAAATATGGGGGAGGGGAGAAAACCGAGGAAATGGGGGGGGGGGGTCTCAGTCTGCTTAGAGTTTCTCTAGGTAGCATAGGAAGAAGTGACGCTGGGCCAAAAAACTTGTGTCTTGTTTTAGAATGCAATTATTATTATTATTAGTATTATTATTATTATTAATATGCGCTGAATGACAAATAAATGTGATAAATTTGACGTAGCGTGAATTATGCTTCAAAAATATAAATATAGTATATAAATAATGTGAAATATAATAAATTTATGTACCCTACGAGGGGGGAGACCAGACAAAAACTCCATGCACAAAACCAGTGAAGAAGAGTGAGCTAACGCAGAATCGGTGTCGTCGCCCGCTACACGCTGCTGATTTACTGAGGAGGGGATCCGAGCACTTATGGGCTAACTGGTTCGGTTTGCCATGAGGATAATCTAGTCAGTAGTTAGTAGATAACTGTCAGTCCCTGGGGACAGTGGAGTACTGACACTGGTTTTTTTCGAACAGCATTTGCTATGGCCGTAAAGTCCACTGTGCGAGTGCCAGTCGCTGCCACGTAGGTAAGTTGCGTATCCTTTACAGGACGTTGCAGAACCAACCCCAACAGCCCCTGGCTGTTGTGTAGTTTTTCTAGGCAAATTTACGTCCAGTAGTTTGCCATTGCCTCTGAACGGTCGGTTTTTTTTTTATACCACTGTCGAAACCAACGCAAGGCACATGGCCCTCAGCTGGGATCGAACCCGGCATCCCGGTATTACGAAGCGTTCTCATCGTCTTAGCCACAGAGCCGACTTACTGCTACATAGGCCACATAAAAACGTGGATACTTGTTCGTTCTGAAGCTAGGTCCTTAGACCTTTCCTCTATAGTTTGCTACGTCTGGGCCTCTTTCAACTGTAACAGTATGTCTTTCACTGTCTGCCTCTAAAGGAGTCGCTCTGTAGCTGATCTCACCCATATGTCTGTGCCAGTGCTGATATCTTTCAAGTCATGTTTGCATATAGCTTCAGCATTCCTGCAGTCTAATCCCTGTTACCAGTTTATCACACAAGAGATCCTTTAGGATGCGACAGCA